CAAAGCATGGTACATATACGAGTACCTATAACACTATTGTATTATAAGCACCGATGCGTTTGAGAAAATTTTAATAATAAATTCTATTGGTGGTAAGTACATTTAATATTGTTTCTGAATAATTTACCTTTAGATAACTAATTTAAATAACCTTAGTAGATTATTTTAAAAAAATAGTTGTGGCCAACGATCGAATTTTGTGCCAAGTTCAATGATATTTTTTTGTCTTAATTGTGACATACCTACTTTCTCATTTTTGTTAGTTATCTGACTTAGTCATTTAATATCCAAATCAGTGTAAAGGTGATAAATATCCCCGTTTTAGGGGAATGAACAGTTCAATTGGTATTAATTTTTATTTCATATTTTTCAGGTGCAGAAAAGCCAACTGAGACTGAGGGCGCTATTATTACTGTTATTTATTACATAATGTAATTAAGAATTTGTATCTTTTATATTAAAACAATAAATTGAAAATTTTATTAAGGAACATTTTTTCTAGGTTATAATTATAATAATTATGGAATACTACTACAAATTTTATTAAAAATTACTACAATTTGTATGAATTTTTACTATTTATTGTGTAAAATTTTCGTATTTATTTTCATAAAACGCAATACATTTTTAATATAAATTCATACAGTGAATAGCAAAAATTATAACAATTTGTAGAACAATTCTTATGATGCATTTGGATATTTTTACTAAATATTGTAGATAATAACTCTACAATAAATTCTCCACAAATATTTGGAAATTTTTACTACAAATTGTCCCTGTCCCTATATGTACTATTTATTGTAGAGAAAAAATCTACAATTGTAGAAATTTGTTCTACAATTTTTTTTCCGTGATTGCTTTCAAAATCATCCCCTATCTCTTCCAGTTGTAAAGCTAGTTCTAAATCTAACAGCTCCTACTTTTTCTTTAATTCCTCTTGCTCAAACTACTTTTTCTTTATTTAATTCTCTATTTCAGCTACTCTGATTTTATATTATTACTCTTGATTGTCTTCCTAGTGAAAATATATTTACTTGAATTAACTTCTATCTGTCCTGTCGTCTGGAGAACATCCTCAACTTGGACTTTCGTCTGTTGTGGGCTCTCAGATTGGACCTCTTCTCAAATATGTCTGAGCAGGCAAAATAATTATTTCCCTAGTACTTACTGGTGTCAATAAAGCACCATAATGTTGTAGTGTACAAACCTATACAATATATATTTATATCAGTGTTGAAGAACCAAAATTATTAATTGGAAAAAACTAGGATTAAAAACTTCTTTTTGTCACTATCATTAATTTATTGTCATGTTTTTTTATATGTTACAACTAACATCAAATATAGATCAAGAGACTGTTCCAAACAATTTATCTGTAAATGGATTGAAAGCTTCTTATCAGACCGTTCAATACCAGTAGGTTGCTAATCCTTTGCATTCTAGTTCTACAAAATGAATGCAGGAATTCCTCAAGGCTCTGTTTTAGCCCTTTCTCTATCTGCATTACTTACTCGGTCACATCTTTGTCATAAAAAATAGAATATAAAACTATTTCTATTATATTTTTCCAAAGGTTACTTGGTTTTTCGAACGCCTCGTATGATTGTATAGGCACACCAGGAACTAAACTTTACGATATTGATAAGACACCAATAAGTAATGTTTTGACCAGGCAGCGTTACTACTACGGACCATTAAGTAAGAAATAGCAACAACATTATGCACAGAAATTCTAATCATATTTTAGTTTAATGTTTCATATAATAACAGAAAACTCATAAACAAAAACTATCGGATATCCCAAGAACTTTTTAATTTATTTGATAACTTTATAAGCGTAACGAATCGAGCGGAAGCTGTTGAACAAATACTGAATAAATTTAAAAAAACAACCCATAAACATACATTTTCTGATAAGTCACTCAGAACCAGTGAATTTATTTCACGATTCTATATATTATATAAGCAGGAAGTATTCAATTATAATAATAGTAAAAAAAATCTTTTTACATTACATTTTAATTGAATAATATTTAATTCGATTCAAATGTACAATAGGTAAACGGTAATCCACTCTTACATCACCCATTACTGCCCATTAACATTGTCTAATTTTTAACAATAAATCGACTTGAACAACCACTTAAACATTTTAATGAGAAAGCGAATTATAATGTAAAACGAAAGCGAATTTCGGTCCCTCAAATTCCGAGGGATATAGAGAAAAGTGAAGATGATGTGAAAGTATTGATAGTTCAAAATTACGAGGGCTGTTCTTTTTCCGTTGAGCTTAGTAAAGTAAAACAGTGTTTATTTACAAAAAAAAACATTTATTTATAATTTTTGAAAATATTCCCCTTCACAGTAAGTGCAGATGCCTCTAAATGAAATCCACACTGTTATTTAAAAAATAAGAAGAATTGCATACCTCGATATGAGTGGTTTTTTCCAGACCTACTTTAAAAACATTTCTTGTGAATCACTATATTTATACTTTATTTCATCACAATGGTGAAACTTTATTATTTGTTTTACTTTTTCCTGTCATTGATTCGCAAAATAATGAATTTGATACAATTGTTAAAAATCCACTAGCTATTTCAGTGAGGGTTTATATACAAAATATACAGTTAAGGATACGTGATATTTCATGGTGGATGACAGGAGGTTCCGTCATGGGTAAAGGGACGATCTTGACGATAGGGCGTATATATACACACCAGAAGCAGTGCGGACTTGGACAGATCGGACTTTCCCATCTTTACCAGGAATCACGTCAACGATCCGTGCTAATGGCCACTTCAATGGGGATTATCATCTTCTTTGAGGAGTACCATCTCGTCGATTTAATGATCTCTACGAGGGGTAATTCACTTAGGACGGTTTTGGAGTTGGTGAAGATAGTCTACTGACCACAGCTTCCAAAAATTCTGTTGCACATAGGTGCATTGCTGCCAAAACTTTAGCCTGCTAACGGTTGTCAGGGAAATATCTTTGTCAGGCAGTGACATCAACGAGGCTCCGATTAAAAAATGTCCTGGGATGAGAGGATTCAAATCATTGGGATCTGAAGAGAGGGGAAACAATGGTCTTGAGTTCAGTATGGCCTCAATCTGGGACAGAACAGTGTACAACTGTTCAAAGGTAAAGGTGAAGTTACTAAGCACTTTAAGTAAGTGAGATTTTACACATTTAATGCAAGCTTCCCAAAGACCGCCCCAATGGGGGAACCTTGAAGGGATAAACTTCCAGTCAATGGAAGAAATGAGTAAATAATCATGTACAGGAGAAAATTTTTGTATAAGAAACTGTGATAACTCTTTTAGCTGGTTATTAGCACCTACGAAATTAGTTGCGTTATCGAAGTCCTCTTCGTGAGATAAACCGTTTAAGGGCAGCTATAAATGCCTCGGTAGTCAAGTCTGATACCAGTTCCAAATGAATAGTTTTGGAGGAAAAACACACAAAAATGGCTATATAACACTTAGTAATGGGGGCCTTCTTAAGACAAGATGATTTAATCATAAAGGGTAATCCGAAGACTATGCCGATAGTTTGGAACGGTCGAGAAGGTGGTACACGAGTCTTGGGATGGTCAGCCATGAGTTGTTAAGCAGTTATAGCTTTGAATCTATGACATATATTTATTATTCTTTTGATTTTGCGGAGTCCGTCAATGGGCCAAAACTTAAGGCGAACATTTGCTAGCACATTTTAAGGACCACTATGTCCTAACCTTCGGTGTTCCTTTTACAACACCAAGGAAGTAAAATGGCTTCTAGAAGAATGGAGTGTTTTTGATTAAAGTTTAGATTTGAATAGGATAATCTAAGTGATTTAATGGAATTTTTTCCCTAGACAACAAGTCGGCGGGGTTTAACTGAGAAGTGATGTGCCGCCAAGGAACTGTGTGAGTAAGTTTTTGGATGGTAGAAACTCTATTCAAAACAAACACAGCCCATTTAGAGGGAGGCCCTTTAATCCATGACAAAGCTAGCTGAGAATCTGACCATAATATCGTTTTATATATAACAAGATGGTCTTTAAATATAATTTCTAATCTGGCAATTAAACCCCGTAAAAAGTGTCTGCCATTTTGGAATTAATTTTTTTTTAATTTAATTAAGACGCTATTAAAATTTCAGCGCGAATCAAACACTTCAAATCATATTTAAAAAAATCAACTTTTGGGTTGATTTATTAATTATAAACCCTCTCAAAAATGTCTGCCTAAATTACTAGTATTTTTAGAATTACCTAAACTTTCAATTGTTGTTTGTTGGCCTCTGAATCAACCACTTTTTTGGGTCATATTTTACGACCCTTTTCTATTATGCGCAGTACCTGGTGTCCCGGGGTGGGTCTAGCCAACACAGGTATATCTGCTTTTCCATCCAAATGATTTCAAATTTCAAAGTGCATCAAACACTTAATGAAATTTGAATTACTAGCTCTCCGACTATAACCATGTTAACAGAACAATAAATAAAAATATTAAGAAAACAAATGTTGAACATCTCTTCAATAAAACCAAATCATTTCTTAAAGAACATCCCGGTTTTTTTGGTAACTACTGCGGACAAAGGCAATGTAATAGTAGTTATGGAAAAACAACAGTATTCAGAACTATCAAATAAAATCGTCATAGAAAGTGGATCATATCAACAAATTAATAAAGATCCCATTCAAACTATTGAGAGAAATAGTAATACATTAATTAAACGTCTAAAAGAAAAAGGTTTTATTGATGAAAGAACGAAAAAATCACTTACTCGCTATAATGGTGTCTCTCCTAAATTTTATGCCTTGCCGAAAATTCACAAACCTACTTTATCGGTAAGACCTATTGTTTCTTGTATGGGAGGGTTTAGCGAAAACTTTTTGTAGGTGGCAGCACCACTGTAAACACCCTATTAAATTTGACAGTTGACATTTTATATGATTATCAGATCATTGTTTATAATTTTTTGGTGAAAGTCTTCTTAATTATAAATAAAATGAGTTATAGTAATTGGAAATTAAATTCTTTGAAGGATGAATTAAAGCGTCGAGGAGCAATTATGCGGGGAAAAAAGGCTGAACTAATAGAGAGGTATGTATGAAATAATGATCACAATTTTTTGTGTTTTATAGGTTATATTTCGATTTACACAAAAAATATAAAATATTCTATTTCAGATTGGAGGCTTACGATCGAAACTTTAATTTCGGATTTGTGGCAGTAGACAATGAAAATAGTGCACCAAAAATGTGTTTACCACCTCCAGAAACTTTTAAAGATGTGCACTGTGGAATTAAGTTGAACATTGACATTTCTAAGACTCGAGTAGAAACTTACTTGCAGTCTTTTGATCAAAATATAACTGAGAAATCCGCGCAGTTGTTCCAGAGCAAGTTTGTGCAATATTTAAAATTTAGTTCTACAGGTAGTGGTGTGTTTTTTAACAGTTCGGTGAAAGCTGCTATGAAAAAAATTCTTTATCATGTGGATATCTTTATCACTACTGATAATAGTATTGAACAATGTCAGTGTGAATGTGCTGCAGGAGAAGGTACACAAGCACATTGCAAGCATATAACTGCAGTACTATTAACAGTAGCAATGTTTTGTGAACGAAAAGTGTTATGGATTGAAGAAGCATGCACAACACAGTTGCAAACTTTTCACCAACCCAAAACTAAATTTAATCGTTCTCCAATTAAAGCCACTGAACTACCAGTCCTAGGGAACTCGAATAATAATTTTGACCCCCGCCCTCAACATAGTGAGGACAAGGGGTACAAAGAGTACTTTAGAAATCTATGTATTAACTTTGGCGATCACACGATGCATATACTTCAGCTGTATGAACCAGCAAATCCATATGGCATAGAAAATGACCACAATTATACAAAAATTGATGTAGTCGCCAATTTATTTGAGAGTATGGGGCTACAAAATTTAAGTGCTAAAAAAATTTGTGAAATTGAAAGCAAAACAAGGGGACAGCGTAAAAATAAGTTGTGGCATTATGAACGCTCGTTTAGAATAACATCTACTGCATTTAAAGATGTGTGTTGTGCTACAGAGAGGCGTAATATGAAAGCTTTAACAAATGCTATCATAAATAATCAGACCTTTCCATCGAAAGCAACCAGGCATGGAATTATTTACGAAGAAAATGCAAAGAAATTATATGAAGATATAAATCACTGTCAAATTCAGGAGTGTGGTCTATTGGTGGTTGCTGGATTTCCATTTTTGGCTGCATCACCAGATGGTTTAATTGGCGATGATGGGGTACTAGAAATTAAATGCCCATACAGTGCCAAAAATAAAAATATTTCCCCAACGACTGTGCCCTACCTTGAAATTGAAGAAGGAATATTAAATTTGAAAAAGAACCATTCCTATTACTATCAAATTATGGGTCAATTATTAGCAACTGACAGAAAATATTGCGATTTAATGATATATACATTAACTGATCATGTTACTATTAAAATAGTAAGAAATGATCAATTTATTAACGCTATGTTAATTAAGTTGCTAAGCTTTTATGATGCCCATTTTTATAGTGCAATAAAACAAAAATATTATTATAAAGAGTATAATTTTTAAGAGTAATATTATGAATAAACAAAATAATTTATAAACATAAGTACGTTTGTAAGAAATATTAAATAATTTTTTATAATCAGTTATCAATGTTCATTATTCCACTCCTAAAATTGCACAACATAGTGCACACAAAATATATATCACTACCGATTGTAAAATAATTTTTATTAAGAGGTTGACATAAAATGTTATATGTTTTTGTCATACCTATTAATCGTTCAATATGAACACGTTTATTGGCAATTTTACGATCATTTAAAACCACCAACCCTGGTAATTGGGATTTACCTCGTAAAAATGATGGAGCATTTACTGTAACATTTTTCGATGCAAATATATCCTGCACATTAAATCCACGATCTGCTAAAATAGAATCTCCCGATTTACATATATCACGCAATGAACAACGTTCAACAATTTGTCTATCACTTGTTGCACCACCATATGCTTCAGAACAGTAACTAATTAAACCTCCAGGGGTGCCACCAACTATCACTTTTAATGTATTTCTATTTTTATAGCTAGAAAATGTTGCTTGCTGACATATTGGTTCTACCGGTTTTACAATTGGAAATTCAGTACCATCAATTATTACTCTAGTAGAGGGAAATGAGATTTTGAAACTTTCTGGCATATAATATCTTACTAGCTTCTGTGAAGGCCACAAATCAAGTTCATTCCACTGTTTTGACATAAAATTTATCCAGGAAATAAATATATTTGATGCTGTTGATGTAGATACATCAAAAAGTGTACCTAATTCAAAATCAGGTGTATTTCTACGTAATTTAATTAATGTTAAAAAAAAACTGGTCTTCTAATGAAAGAGAATAATTGCGCCCTCTTTTATAATTAAATTTAAATCGATTTGGACCTAATGTTTGCAAAACAAACTGAAACTTTTTATAATTTTCTAATCCAGTGTAATAATACAAAACATCATTGTTATGTACAAATTTTGCTACTGTCAAAATACTGTTAATACCACAGGTTTGAACACCAACATCTGCAACAGCAACTGCCTCTTTTTCTGCTTCTTTTATATCTGAATTATCCGTACATACTTCAACTTCTTGCTCCACATTTTCTATATCAATTTCATTATTAGGCATATTATCATCAAGTTCATTAAAATTTGTCTGTAAACTATTTTTGATTCGGTTGTCAAGTCTTTGTTGACGCTGTGATAATATTAATGGTTTTATTGGTTTGCCTAATAGCTGACTGGGAACTGCTCCCTTCTTAAGAATTTTTCTAGTGTTTTTTAAACCTAAAATAAATTAATTGCCTAAAATTATGAACCTAAAATATTTAAACATTACCCACCAGAATGATATCCTGTTTCAATAAAATCACTTGCTTGAAAGTGCTTGGAACACACAATACTATTATTTGATGGTTTAAAATGTAACCTATTTATGGCTCTATACCAAATCGTCTTTGTTTTTTTATGTTTGGGAAATTTATGACCAGTATTTGTGGTACAGTTAACAACACAACACCTTGGCATTTTAATATTTGTATGTGAAATACTTTATTTTCATCTTACTGTCAATCTAACATGCGTAAAGTATAATGACAAAATTTGAGGTTAAGATTCATGGGTTGTTGGAACATAAGCGCCTCTAATGAGAACAAATTTCAGTAAACACTCCCATTGGAGCTGCTACATAATTTTTAGCTAAATATATAACTGACATTTTAACTAAATCTTATGATTATAACATGTATAACAATGATTACTACATAAAAGACTCTTTTGAAGTAGCTAAATTATTCAATAATATACAATTACCACCAGGGTATATAATAGCGAGTTTAGATGTGGTCTCTTTATTTAGTAATATTTATCTTGATGCAGCCATACGAGCAATTACAGTTAATTGGTAAAAAATTGAATCATTCTGAAATATTGACTGTGATACTTTCATTGAAATAATAACTTTTTTATTTAACAGCACTTATTTCTCATTTGATAACAAATTATATCCCCAATTATTGCAACATACATAGGCGATTTTAAATCAGATACCATGTCTTGAATATGATTGACTACACTGATATAAATCAAAAACAATGACGTCATATTGAATATTGTCTTGAAATAGTCAAGTTTAACATGACTACAGTAAAAACGTGGTCATCACAGGTATGAAATGTCAAATGAAATGACAAATGTAAAACTTTTACTTTTTAATTATTAAATCATTGTTTGGTTGTGTTATTTGTAAAATAGAAAGAAAGATTTAAGAAAGGGAAAAGTGGGACAATGGTGACGATAGGTTTAAAAAACAGGTATTTTTTTAAAATAAGCTCCTTTTTTGTAGAGATCTAAAAAAGGTCATCCGCTTATATTTATTTAAACCATTAGATTCCTTTTTCTGAGCTTCTCAAAAACAGGTCAAACATTGTCAAAAATATCATTATATATAACTTTGAATTTAAAAAACGTAGCAATAAGGTAAAATGCGGAGCATTTTTGTACTTTGGCGTAACGCGTGCCAGCAAGTTAAAAAGCAGGACAATTACGCCTAAAGCGCGACGTCTGGCAACCCTGGCTGAGTACCTAGATATGGACGCATTTAAGGTTTCTGCAAATGAAAAGCCAATTTATTTTCAAGGTAGGATTTATTAATGAACATGGCTAAAGTTTTGATAAAAAATCAGAGGCCAAAGTAACTATAATACCAATTTTCTTTTCATCCATGATCAGTAAACAAAACAAATATTTATTTTTTGTCCCTACAAGTTCAAAAACAAATCCAAATACATAACACACAAACAAAAATTCATGATATCTGCCAATGTTATACCCATTGTGAAGTTAGTGTCAATATAAACCAAACATTTTTAAATCAGATTATTAGAACGTCATTATAATGACGTAAGAACCTTGACCACACTTGACTTGGTCACATTTCTAGTAACTGATTTAAAATCGCCTCATGATGGACAATATTCTAGATACAGTCATACCTGTCTTATCCTTCATAGTACATTTCTTGAAAAAATATATCGATGACACATTTGTTAGCTTTCCCGCAGAAGGTATTGATGAGATGTTGTTCACTTTCAACAGCTTCGATCCATACATACAGTTTACCATCGAAAAATAGGATGGTTCTGGTTCAGTTTCATTCCTTGACACGAAATCATCAGATATCCTTCTAGTAGCAGGCTAAAAGTTGATTGGTATAGAAAACCATGTTCAGGTATATACACGGAAAAATATGTGACTAGAAAATTTTACTACAATGTTGTAGTATTAGACTTGTAGAAAAATACTCAACAATTTGTAGAAAATTTTACTACAATTTATAGGTAAAAACTATTCATTATTGTAGCAATTGAATTGTCGAATAAAATGCTACAACAATAGGAAATAATTCCACAATGTTTAGTATATTTTACTATTGTTTGTAGAAGTAGAAATTTATTACAATTATCGTAATTACTACTACTAACTTCTGAAAAAATTTGTACAAATATTAATAATTATCTCTACAAAAAATAGTAATAATTTACATCCCTTCTTATGAAAAATATTCAATTTTGTTCAAAAATATTCTATAATATTGTAGAAATTCTAAGTCATGTGAACAAAACAGAATTCTGCTATTGGCCAACGTTTTCTGACGTCGATCATAAATGGCCAGACAGCAGTAGCTATAACACATTATTATATTATAAGCACCGATGCGTTTGAGAAAATTTTAATAATAAATTCTATTGGTGGTAAGTACATTTATTGTTTCTAAATAATTTACCTATAGATAACTAATTTAAATGACCTTAGTAGATTATTTAAAAAAAAAATAGTTGTGCCTAACGATCGAATTTTGTGCCAAATTCAATGATGTTTTTTTGTCTTAATTGTGACGTACCTACTTTCTCATTTTTGTTAGTTATCTGACTTAGTCATTTAATATCCAAATCAGTGTAAAGGTGATAAATATCCCCGTTTTAAGGGTATGAACAGTTCAATTGTTATTAATTTTTATTTCATATTTATAGGTGCAGAAAAGCCAACTGAGACTGAGGGTGCTATTATTACTGTTATTTATTACATAATGTAATTAAGACTTTGTATCTTTTATATTAAAACAATAAATTGAATATTTTATTAAGGAACATTTTTTTCTAGGTTATAATTATAATAATTAT